TAATAGTTTTTAATACTTAGTGATACGCTATTTAAATTTATGTCTCCTAAAATTATAACTAAACCCTTTAAAGTATTTATAAATTCTTCTACTTTACAAAACCATTTCATGTACTCATCATCACTGGCACTAGGTTTAATATAAACAACACATACGTGAACAGTTCGGCCGCACCATGTAAAGTCTGCCCACAAGTCCTCACCACTGTCAGTTTCGAGATCACGTCGACGGCGCAGCGCGATGGGTGCGCGAGCGGCGAGCATCACTCCACCGCACGGAGTTTCACGGTCACGTCGCATGATGCTCCAATCACTTATGGAAAGCTCTCCGTCTTCGATAGAAGCATCGAGAAAGCTTTCTGTTACGGCAATTAAGTTATGTTCTAGCTGTACCAAGTTCGTCCTCCACGTCGATAATTTGGTTTTGAGGCCACGGACATTTTGATACAGCATATTAATGCTCTTACGATTGCTATGGGGCTGTTTAGGCACGAAATGTCCGGGGTGATGGTCGATCCCCTGCAGATACTTGGCTTCTGATACGTCTCGGGTTGTCAATCCATGCCTTTATTCTGGCGTTAACTGGCCACACATCAACCGAAAAGCATTTTTCATAATGAACAATAGGCACACCTATCTTGAAAGATTTGTAACTACCCCTGGTCCGCAGTTCTTCGACTGTGCATGTACCAGTAGGGCACAGATGTTGAAGGTAATCGCGAATCTCGTTTGCGCTAGACTCCATATTCCATAGGTGCAAATATTTACGCGGTTCAACTGCTCTTAATGTAGTGATATCAGGCCCAGCGATACCGCAGAGTGATGAGGATTGCCGGGGTTTATTTTTCTTAACTTCGGTCCAGTTTTGATCAGAAATAGTGCCGGTGCGTCTATCGGCATCGGCAGCAATGTGGTTATAAGCAGCAGCGGGATCATCAGTAGAGGTAAAGGCGCGGTCGTCAGCGGCAGGTGAATTATGGATATTGACCGTAGAAAGGTGGTCATTGGCTTTAGTTTCAACAGGTCGGTTAGGGTAATTTGAAGTGGAATTGAGTGTTTTTGGGTTAGCCTTCTTCGATTTGGGTTTTTTCTTCTTGGATCTTTGTGCAGCCCCTACTGCTGCAGGAGACTCTAATGGCGGGGGTGCAGGGTTGAGTTGATGTTGCTGTTGAGTGGGTACGACGACACGACGGGTACGACGACTTATACCTTCTCTTAAGTCTAACACACACTTTTATGAAAACCGCATCACAATCGGTTCAGTCAATTGCCAGATAATTGCGCACATACATACATACATGTCTAGAAGTATACAATATAGTGTGATTTACCTCTGGGCATCCAAGTTCCTGAGGTCTCGAAGCAGCCTGTCAGTGCGGCGCAGTAGATGGGCGTGCGTCCTGCGGGCGGGGGCGAGGGTCCCGAGCTGCGCGGCCAGCGCCCGACACACGCCGAAGGGCCGCGCGCTCACTGCCGCGCTACACGGCGGCGCCTCGTCTTCTTCGTAACTACACGATGTACTGCGTATAGAAATAGAAATACGTATACATTACATGATAATTATCTAATCTAAATGGGATGATGACAGGGTATGAAAATTAAAAATATAATTAGTCCGTAAGTTTCTTAATTACCTATTAATAGTCTAATATTTTTTAATTACCTATTAAAAAATATTAGACACGTATTTTTTTACTTTGTCGTATATAAAAACAATACTTAGATAAAACGGATCAAAGTTTAGGAGTCATTTTCACGTCATTTCTACGTATAAAATGTACATAGAAGTGACGTCACGGGACATTTCAAATCAATATATCGTCGAAAGTATTCGTTTCTGTAAGAAAATATAAAATACGTGTGTAATGATTTACAATAATCTACCAGACGGACATTAAAATAAAAATTAGGCATAATTTTTTTTTAACCTACGTTAAAAATGCCGACTTCAACCCCTCTTTCTTTGCAGTCGATTATTTAATATATTAAAACCTCCTAAGGTTAACAAACATTTTTCTGAAATCGGTTCAGTCAATCGCGAGGTAATCACATACATACAGTTCAAACAGACAACCTAACTTTTTGATGTCGATTAAATAGTCTGAAGAAGTTAGTTAAAGAACCGTGACACTTGTTGTCATTAACATTGTCTTGGATCCTAATGCATAAAAGTTTAATTTACCTGTCCCTAGTAGCCAAGTAATGTCGTTCACTATTCCGATGTGCTACCAGCGTGGCCACTAGTTCGTCCTCAGCCCCCGGCGGTAGAGGGGAGGGCCCGGCCTCGTCCAGTCTGCGCCCGCATACTACTTCTGGAGATGTGTGACCGATGTATGCTAGTACCTGAAGAAGATAATAGGTAGGTAAAGGAAAATGTACTTTCTTGCAATGTAGATAAGGTTTATTCTTGCTTTTAATAGATTTCTATACATACATGATCAAGTTGGTGTTTATCCGGTGGACAGTTCTTGTAGTCCGGTAGCAAATCTGGAGGTAGCGGCGGCGGGAGAGATGATAGCGTATTGTCTCTTGGACATTCGTCACTGGAGAACATTAATAAAAATTTGCAATGATAGTTAAACTTACAAGACAATTAGAATAATGAAAATTTTGTATGAAACGACTTCAATGTTTTTGCACATAGTAGATGGCGCCACTAGCAAATATAGTTTTATCAGACCAACCTGAATTTGTGTTAAAATTTTCATTATTAAGGAAATGAAATTACATAACACTCTAATTTTGGTTGATGAACCCTTGATTCCTGACAGCGCCAACAGTAGAGACTTTTTTAAATGAAGACCAACCATAACGCCGCCATTTTATTGATTAGGTTCTTTACTAAACCCAGAAGATATCACATGTATATTAACATAAAATCAAACTTACGAGTCCGGTAATTCCAGCGGTTCTATAGTCTCTGTAGAGGTGACAGAAGGGTCGTAGTACAGCGCTGACGCGTCCCAGCACGCCTTGCCCGCTATGTCGCGGAGCAACACGCGCGCTTGTTTGTCCGATGTCATTAGACCTGTGGATCAAATCTATTTATAAGCAAAATGATGGCGGAAACAGGTCAAGGATAAAATGGTTAGTCATTAATTAATTCTATACCAGTGTAATAATGTGATGTATGAATTAACTAGGGAAACAAAACAATATATAACATATTAAACCGACAAAAATGTTTTAAATTAGACTGGTCGATAGACATGTATGTCATAGAAATATAAAGCCCACTTACCAGGCGTAGTAGCGGCAGGCATGTCCAATGCAGGCAGTTCAATAAAGGAGGCGAGGGTCGAGTCACTGAGCCGCAACATCTGTACATGCGGCGCGGTCAGCACGGCGGGGCCGAGCTCGCCGCCCAGCGCCGGGCTGTCGTGTTGTTCACACACTGACGACGACACTTGCCATCCGTTCCATAGTGGCCAGTGACCCAGGAATAGTACTAGTTGTGTGCATATCTAAGGACACAATTGAGGATCCTTGATGAACATTATACATTGAGTTTTTAGAAATGATACTTTAACTTTGTGTCTTTGATTCAGTGGTTGCAAGGACATGAGGTTATTGAGTTCAAACACAACAAAGGTTTTTTTCAATTTCAAAATTTTCAGTAGTTCGAGTAAATGTAAGGACGCTAGGATTAGTGTGCAAAGAATGAAAGTAGTTTTAAAACAATCGACACTTTGTCTGTCTTAGGAAACCAACTTGCAAATCATTCGAGCGATGTCGCTCTAATTAGCTACATATGATATTATTTTGAAAACCTTATTTTACATAATATAAACATATCCCACCTCAATATTTACTTCTAGAATTAGCACACAAGTTAACATTAATTATTGTAAGCTTACCGTTTGCGCCCATAGTTTGACGTCTATCGTAGAGGCGGGCGTAGTCTTTGGTCCCAGATTGTCCAGCTGTATGTTTGGGTCGAAGTCCTCGTCGACGGGGAGCGACAGGCCTTCTATATCAGATCCATTAGTACCTTTCATCACAGCGTATAGTACCTATAATGAAATAATGTTTATAAGACTCTGGATCTATTTCAAATTAATAAGATTAAAATTAAATCGACCTATTTGAAGTCAACATTATGTAAAATTGAAGGGAAGTAAACGCTATGTATGTCTATTATTTTTGTAAGGCTCTAGAGTTTAGAAACAAACGGTCCGCATTTCAACTGCAATCCAACCGCAAATTGCATTTCGGATGCAGTTTGAATGCAGTCGTGTTACGACTGCAATTGAACTGCAAACCAAACGTGCAGTCCGATTGCAGTTCTATTGCAGTCATGATCAAACGGTTGCAAACTAAACGAGCAGACCGATTGCAGTTCTATTGGAATCGTGTCAACTGCGTTCAAAATTTTGCAGTCCATCAGAACAGCATTTTGCTGATGAAATGCGGTTCCTCTATTTAGAGCCTAAGAATAGATTAACTTAATTTTTACTTTTTAAGTTCATGCATAATACAGCCAGATAGACCACGAGTGACAGATATAATACGTCTCGTAAAGCTTTCTCATGGGGTAACTGGGCCTGCGATAACCACAATCACACGATGTGAAACAATGCAAGCGTTGTTTCACGTCGGTCTTCTGTGAGGCCGTGGTATCACTCCGATCGAGCCGGCCTGTTCGTGCCGAATCATGGCTCTCCCACATTTTGCTTACACTCCTTAGTTATACTGGGGCAACAATTTTGTCACAAAGAGTAAAGATACCTAGAACAAAATACCATACCGTTCTTCTATAGAAATCTTTCCAATTTTTCAGTATGCTAATTAGAAACAACTTGACCTCCAACTAAATGGGTCAGACAGCGATCAGACTAGAGAAGTACTAACAAGATACTCGGCTAGTGTTGCAAGAACAAATATATATGTTTATGTAAGCGCATTGTAGGCTCGGTCTCCTCTATTTAATTCATTAGCACCCAATTATATCGTCGTGAGAGATAGTGTTGTCATCGTTCGGAGAATTTTGTTTAAATAGTCGGTTTGTGAAGGAGTAAGCACAGTCAACAGCTGCTTCCAGCCGCAATCACCTACTCCCAAACTACCCTTACTACTTCAACATGCAGAAGATCGTGAGTAATTTTGTTCGACTTTAAGCTCTTTTAAGTGGATTTGAAAGTTTACATTTATATCAAGATATGTGATATATTGTTCAAAAAACTGACATTTGGGAAATGTATATTTTGAAATGACCTCCAAAACACCCTTTCAATAAATTATTTGAGCTTTTACGTTTCTATTCTATTATCTTTAACCAGTCACATTTTATTCCCAGGTACTCATCGCCCTCGCCATGTTCGCCCTGGCCGCCGCCGCCCCTCAACAGGGTCACCCCGCGGAACACCCCGTCTACATCCTCAAGCAGGATGCTGACATCACCCCTGATGGTTACTCCTTTGAGTAAGTATATTTGAAAATACTTATACAAAATCAATAGCCTTATCTGATAAATCTCATCCTATTTAACTGTGGTCTCCCGTCAAATGTAGACATTATGGCAAACCTCCTATTTGTAGAAGAAATTTTTCATATTATAAATCTGACTTTTTATTTTTCCATTTCCAGCTTTGAGACCAGTGACGGTACAGCTCGCCAGGAGAAAGGTACTTTGAAGCAAGTCAGTGAGAACCACCAGGCCCTTGAAGTGAGCGGCAGCTACAAGTACGTCGGCACTGACGGCCTCGTCTACACCGTCACCTTCGTCGCCGACGAGCATGGCTTCCAGCCCCAAGAGCATGTTGAACACCCCCAGCAATAAGCACCAATGTTGGACCCAATTTGCCGGACCACTATAAAATGCCTAAGCATTTACGTGGCCAACACTTGACCAAACATTTGTCTTATTTGCCCAGTTTGTGTAGGTTTTACTACATAACGCTGACTGTTATTTTTGTACATTTTTCGTATTCTTTTTATATGAATATATTGCAGTAATATAATTGAGATTGTAGTATTTTTTTTTTACTTATAAAACCAGGTTAAATCTTTGTAGATACATATATATTCTTACACAAATAACCTACCCATTATCTACACTAGCGCCATCCACTCACTTCTCCCTAAAAATACACATTTAAAACTAGACATATTCTATGCACCTTACCTTAAATATCATAAGCAACAGTGTTTGGTCTCCATCCTTCTCCTGCATCAAATAGGTAGGTCCACATCTCACTGCGAACTCAGCCAGGCACAGCAATAAGGAACCAGCTAAAGGCTTCACTGAGTCTCTCGAACTACTCGGCGAGATCTGCGCTAAACATGCGCATATCCACTTGATGATTTTACCTGAAGGAAGATATGAAGTTAGATCATTTTTTTTTCTTTAATTTATTACATTTCTCCTTAACTAGTTGTAAGAGAAAATGAAATTACAAATATTAACTATCGATAACGTTTTTATTTCTAATATTACTAAAAACTCATTTCTTTCAAACTATTTATGGTTCAATTTTATGTTAAAGTATGGTTATCTCTCAATATGAACTTGAGATTTTGTTTTATAATGTATTCAAGAGTCAGTCAAGAGATTTACAAAAACAGCGCATAATGAACCGAAAATTAAACCTTTACGGTTGACATTCGTGTATCTAATTTAGATAGTAGTTCCTTACCAGCTAGTCCAGGATAAAGCTCGACGATTCTGTCCGTGTAGTCAGCGAGAGCCAGAACACAGTCACTCACCACCTTCGCTATGTTCTTGTTCTTCATCTGTTGATTGTAACAGTGAGTTGATCATCTAGTGTAAATGCACATTCATAGGCAAACTCAAGTTTATATTTGCATTCCATAGTGTTAGGTTAGGTTAGGTTATTAGTCTTGCGCCTGAATACTGAAAAGTTGCTCTATTTTGAGCTGTACTTAAATATCGTTTGAGTATTTGGAAATTTTTGTATTTCTATTTCATTTATTTATTTATTTTTATACAGGTTGCCCCACATTTGGTTTTCTCCTGTGTCGTGGGTGCGTTTACAAACATACAAGTTCACATACACAATGACACCCAGACCCGAAACAACAATTTGTGGATCCCACAAAGAATTGTTCCGTGCAGGAATCGAACCCGCGACACTTTGCGCGGCAGCCAGTTGCCCAATCACCGCGCCAATCGTGCAGTCGAATAGGTAACGCATTGTCAAATAGGTACTTCTACAGTGTTTCTAATGGTAACAACGATGAAATATCCTGAATACATATACCAGTAAAGCCTCTAAAAAATACAATTTTCGGATGTACCGTTGCACATATGACTGTGAGGTGTTTATTATTAGAAACTGACCGCAGAAATATTTCAAAATCGAGTTTTATATAGAATGCGCTAATTGAATGAGACATGCCTTTCGCTTCGCTTACGCATGCACAAATTCACTTTAAGGATGTGACGACAAAGTGTACTAGTAAGTAGTTTATTCATAGTTTTTTTTCTTTTATCATAATTATGCTATCAATATTTGTTACTCTGTTAAACAAAAAACAGATAGATAATAATAGACTATTTTTTAGTCCGATAATAAGGGTGCAGTTAGTTAATTTTATAAATTTGTGAAATATAAAATACAATACACATATAGTTTTATCATTAACTGAAATTTGAAACCGTTGACCACATGTTTAATGTAGTTTGTTGATAAAATACATATTTGATAACAATATGTCGGTGAACGTGTTTATGAGTAACATCTTGTATCAAAATAAAATGCGAAAACTTTTAACAAAACATTTTACAGGCTAGTAATTGCACAGTGCGTCGCGGTGGCCCGGAAGTTAAGATGTACGTTTCTCATGCATGTGGGTGCAGGTTTCGAAACCTCCAAACGGCAAGTACCAATGTAACGAGTTAATGTACTTTCTAAGATTATTTAGACAATATCGTGAGGAAAATATCGTGAGGAAATCTGGGCTTATAATTAATTATAAGTTTGAAATCGCCAACCCGCAATGAGCAAGCGTGGTGATTAATGCTCGAACCTTCTCTATGTGAGAAGAGGCTTTGCTCAGCAGTGGGTACTTATAGGCTGTTAATGTACGTATTGCACAAAGGAAGTAGAGCAACACGTTGATAATGCTGCTTATTACTTTTATGGGTGTTTTCAACAAAAACAGTAACGATTTGTTGTGATCACCAGTTTGCGACCACGAAGAAACGTCCACGCGACCACGTCCAAGAAACCAGTCTATTATATTATACACATTTTGAAACTGAACAAAACCTAACTGTCAGCAAGGACTTTTTTGTGTGTTCTACACATTGTAATGTCAGTTTTATTCTTCGTATATGAATACGTTACCATAAGCATCTGCAGCAAGCAGGTGACGTATGCCGGCAGGCGGGGCGCGGCGGCGCGCGTGGCCAGTAGATGGCACACGTGCGCGGTGAGGGCGCACGCGCCCGCGCAGCGCGCCGCCGCGCCGCCCTCGCGCCGACATACGCGCACCACTATGTTCAGCACGTGCTCCTAGGGGGAGGACGATACAATTCAATATATGTACACTAAATTAATAATAAAGGTTATCGTTGCGTCAATAAAACACCAATTAAGGAATTTTTTTGATTTATTAATATTTGCTAATTTAAATAAAGTTAGAAACGTTTTAGTAAACGCAAAATCAGACTCTTTGATGAGATTATGATAATGCATGATTCATGCCATTTTATTACGGAGATGCCCGACAAATTTCCAACTCAACCGAGACCCTAAGCTAGATAACGATTGAGCTCGAAACTATCATTAATATTTTCATACTATGTTATTTTATGGTATCATACCTTGAGATCAGGACAGGACACGGTGTTGTACTGGTGGGGGTAGGGTTGTAACATGGGCGCGTTCATCAGACCGTCAGGCAATGACAGTAGCGAGCCGAGGAACGTCACCGCCGCTGTACGTGGACACTGTAACAATGTTACAACTTAGTTCATCCATGTATGTAAATACTGGAATAATATAAGCACACTTACATTATTTATAAACTAAAGTAAATCAAAAGATCATTCCATAAATAAGTTCTATTTCTTCTTATTTAATTTCGAGTTATACGGAAACAGACGCTTTATGAAATTAATACATTATTTTTTGTAATCACGGTGTAATAAAAATGCCAAGAAAGTATATGTTTAGACTAAACCAGTTATAATTAAAAGTAATTTTTTCACATTGAATAGTCCAATTTTCGAGTGAAAGCCCAACTATTTAACTTTTACTTGTTTGCTCCTAAGTATCCAGTGTAAAAATATCGCAGTACTCACCGAAGGTCCCATATCCGAGGAATTAAGTACGACAGTAGAGGCGTGCACGAAGTCCAGTAGCAGTAACGAGTACCCGTCCAGCGCCAGAGACAGGTAGCGAGGCGCTGCGTGCTCCACCAACACGTCTACCACTGAGCGATCCTCTCCGGTCAGACCTAGGGAGAAAGAGATTATTATAATCAACTAGCTTCTGCCCGCGACTTCGTACGCGCAATCCTGTTTTTCCCGGAAACTAAAACTAAACTAAACTTTTTTTTTTTCGATCGGGATAAAAAGCCAATACCAGCCATACCAATTTTTAGCTAAATCTGTTCTGCTGTTCTTGAGTTATAAGTGGTGTAACTAACACGACTTTCTTTTATATATATAGATTTACTATTATACCGTTATAGTATATAATATAGCACAGGGTCTGACCATACAGCAATAGACGCGCCTTCTAGTACACGTGTCTCGTAACTTAATGTGTGAAAACTGGGGAAATTACAGAAAAATCATACAAAACGAGATCACGATAAAATAGTCGCTGATGGCGGCTGGGGGACAAGGGGTGACCTCACAAACTTGAGGTTCAGCTTGTATTGACTTCCTACACATGACCCAAAAATAAAATTGCGCCCTCTAACAAATGCAAAGTTTCTTTTAAAAAAAACTTTTTCGTTTAAAAAACCTTACGTAGGGTAAGGATTTTTCTCCTGTGTCGTGGGTGCGTTTACAAACATACAAATTCATATACACATGACACAGACCCAAAAAAAACAATTTGTGGATCACACAAAGAGTTGTTCCGTGCGGGAATCGAAATCACGACACGTTGCGCGGTAGCCGGTTGCCCAGCCACCGCACCAACCGAGCCGTCAAAGCTTATGTAACATTTCAATGGACTACTGGTCTTCTGAACAATATAATTATTTATGCAGAAGAATGTATGACAAATTGCCTTTAGATATGCAGTATGCATACATTTTTACACTCATAACCGAAACATTAACATTCTATTGTCATAACATTGAGCACATACTAGCAAACATAACGTAAAACTAATTAGTAGTTCCGAGAATGCTATTCAAATTGAAATATAATATATATATGCTATAACTTCACAATGGAGAATTAGATCATCAAATACTAAACTTTGGCAAAACACGAAAAGTCATGTTACCTTTAACTCGTCGAGTACCGGTTTTGTAGACACAATTATAGAACAATAGGTTGCGGTCACCGGTGACCGCTTGGTGTTTGACAGTTTAATTTAAGTTTTAGATAAACTACTAAATGACTCTGAATAAAATTGTGAACAGCGATAGAGCTGTTCATCCTGGAAATGCGACAGAAGATAGTAGTTTTTAATCTATATAAATAAAAATTAATTTCCCTTCATTAGTCTCGCTAAAGCTCGAGAACGGCTGGACTGATTTGGCTACTTTTGGTCTTGAAATGTTCGTGGAAGTCCAGAGTAGGAAAACGGTGAGAAAAAGAGTTGCCGCGTCAGTTAGTATATATATAAAAACAAATTGCTGTTCGTTAGTCTCTCTAAAACTCAAGAACGGCTGAACAAAGTTGGATAATATTGGTCTTGAAATGTTTGTGGAAGTACAGGGAAGGTTTAAAAGGTGAGTTTGCTGGGTCAAATAGTTATAATATTTTTACAACTCACCATGATGAAGAGCTCGTTGGTACAGGTGTAG